GATGCGTGGGGGGAGGCCCAAAGTGGGGTTGTTGAGCTCTCCCATGCACGGCAAGGGAGCAGCCTGCAGCACCTGAGTGCATCTTGGCTTCATCTCCAGCCCTTCCCAGGCTGCTGCTTCATGCTGAGAGTGGTGCCTAAAGCAAAGCACTGACTCTCCTGCCTTTATTTTCCTTTCTTTCATCTGCTAAGAGGGCATTGGCCAAGTGTAGTGCATGTGTTCCTTGCGGGGGCTGAGGGACCTTCAGCGACCAGGGTGGAGAGCCCAAACCAGCTCATTCCCCACCAGCTGGGTCCTGTTAGGAGCCTTGGCTGGGAAATGCAACCCAGCATGTGTCTGGCATCTGGGGAGTGTTTTGGAGCCTGCACCCAGCTCTGGCCTCATCCCCCAACCAGCTCGCAAGGATCTCAGTTCTGCTGTCCCAAGCGTAAGAAGGACATGGAGCTGTTGGAGCAAGTCCAGAGGAGGCCACGAGGATGAGCAGGGGCTGGAGCACCTCCCATAGTGCTGAGAAGATTGGGGCTGAGAACACTGGGGCTGTTCAGCCTGGAGAAGAGAACCTCTGTGGAGACCTCAGAGCAGCTTCCAGTGCCTGAAGGGGGCTACAAGGGTGCTGGAGAGGGACCTTCATCAGGGACTGGAGCGACAGGACAGGGGTGATGGGTTCAAACTGAAACAGGGGAAGTTCAGGTTGGAGATAAGGCAGAAGCTCTTCCCTGTGAGGGTGCTGAGGCGCTGGCACAGGGTGCCCAGAGAAGCCGTGGCTGCCCCATCCCTGGCAGTGTTCAAGGCCAGGTTGGACACAGGGGCTTGGAGCAACTGCTCTAGTGGAAGGTGTCCCTTCCTGGGGCAGGGGTTGGAGCTGGAGGAGCTTTAAGGTCCCTTCAACCCAAACCAGGCTGTGACTCTTATCATCAGACTGGCAGAAGATGCCTCATTAACTGACAGCTCTAATGACAGCGGGTCAGGGCTGGGCTGGGGTGGAGCAGCTTTGGGTTGGTTGAGCCCCCACCTCATGGCTACTGCAGTGAGTGAGGATGAGATCTCCAGTGCTTGAATGTTCAACTTGATGCACACCCAGCGCCGCGCAGCCCCCGGACAGATGGCAGCAATGCTGCCGGGGGGGGCCTGCTATTCATTTGCTCTTGATTTGGCAAGATGTGATGGTTTCCAACGCTGATAATCATCTCTGTGCTTATAACGTGTCTGCCTTTGGAGGAGCCCGAAATAGGCAGCGATAGGAACTGGTTGGAAGAGGGAGGTGGGAGAGGAGAGCTTGGGGTGTGTTGTCCAGTTGGGGAAACTGAGGAGAGGAGATTCCTTCTGCCCTCCTCTTCCTTTTCTTCTTCCTCCAATGGTCATCCCAGTTTCCTCTGGGAGGTTTGGGGTCTGTGGCAGCGTGGGGATGGCTCCTGACCATGGTTCTTGCTTTCAGGTGACCTTCACCAAGCGCAAGTTTGGTTTGATGAAGAAAGCGTACGAGCTGAGCGTCCTGTGCGACTGCGAGATCGCCCTCATCATCTTCAACCACTCCAACAAGCTGTTCCAGTATGCCAGCACCGACATGGACAAGGTGCTGCTCAAGTACACCGAGTACAACGAGCCCCATGAGAGCCGGACCAACGCGGACATCATCGAGGTGAGGTCACCTGTCCTTGTCCTGGCTTTGCCGTGGTGGTGGAGCACTCAGCAGGATGGATGCAGGAGGTCGGTGCTGGGTGGGGATGGGAGTGAGCAGATCTTGTGCCAACCTGATTTGGCATGGGTTTGGTCCAGCCTATGAAAAGACTTGGTTCTGGGTTGTAGAGTTTGAAGCTATCTTGAGTTATGTGTTGATCTAGTGCCATAAAATTGCTCTGTGGTCCAGGCAAAACATGGAGTTTTGGAGGCATCTCCCAGGGTTGCTGCAATGGGGTACCTCAGTGCAGCTCGTGATGTTACCCCTGTCTGTGGTTTCAGAGATACATGGTGGGGTTGTGGGAGGGCACCAGTGGCTGAACCACAAAGTAATTCATGTTGGGAGGCACCTTTGGGTGCCTGTGGTCCAAGCCCTGCCCAAAGCACGGCTACCCTCATGTGTAGATGGGGTTGCTCAAGACTTGTCCAGCTGCAGTTTGGGGGTCTCCCAAGGATAGTGAGTCCAGTCTGATCAACCCTTGGCTGCCTAATCACTGACATTCCAGGGGGGCATAAATGAACCCCTGTGGAGCCGGCAGGGGTGGAGCAGAGCAGCACTGCCCCACGAGGGCCCTGCGTGGGTCAGAGACTCGGAGCTCACATGGCACAAAGCTTCATGTCAAAGCACTGCTGGAGGAATCGGCTTCTCCTGCCCTTGGGCCTTGGAATCTCTTTGGTGCGTCTCGGGCAGTGCACTTGGGCTTTGATTTCATGAAGAAGGAAAAACCAAGCAACTTCCTTCCTAAATCCTGCTTTTTCTTTCGTTTTCTCCCTGAAACATGTCTTTTTGAGAGGTTTGGATTCAGGTTTTCACCTTGTTGGTTCCCACCAGCATGGCCGTGGCCATGACCAAGCATCCAGCAGCTCCTGCCTGCCCTCACCAGGGTTTGACGCCTCATCTGCCAGCGCCCGGTTGTGGAGGGGCCATAGAAATGGTTCTGAATTGTCCCTTTTTGGCCTCTTCGAGCCAGGTAGTGCCCATCCACTGTGCACATGCTGGGGTTGTTGCGGCACCGCTCCCTGCCTGCTCATCAGCGCCGCCTCATCCAGCCTCTCCGGGATGCTCCGACTGCGGCGCTCGCGGCGTCGAACAGATTTGTCTTGGCCTAAAAATACCGTAAACATTTTGGGCAGCGTTCTCTGTTCCCTTATGGTCCAAGCTGCAAACACTCCCAAGCCGACAAGTTACACACAGTCCTTGGCACCCAAAGAAATACTGTGTTTGCACCACATGAAAAGCTGGATCCGCATCCAAAGCCGAGGAGAGAAACATCGGGAGCGGAAGGATATTGGTGGATGGCAAGGAAAAGAGCCCAAACATGCCGAGCTCGACATGTCTTGTTGGAAGAGCCGCCTTGGAGTGAAACCCACTGGGGTGGAGGCAGGTTTTGAGGCTGCTCAAGCATCCCTCCTTGTCCTCATGTCGTCTTGGTGCAGGGTTAGGGTTGCTGAGACAATTCCTGCTCAAGGTGGTGAGTTCAGTCCCACCTCTCCAGCCATGTCCCCTTGCCCGGGTCAGGTCCTACCAGCCTGGCTTTGTCCCCACCACACACAGACCCAGTTTATCTCATGTTTCTTGGTGACTCCCAGTTGAACTCCTCCAACTGCATCTTTGCATCCTTGAAACTTCCCCAGCAACAAGCATTTACAGAAGCTGTGGCTGCCCCATCCCTGGCAGTGTTCAAGGCCAGGCTGGACACAGGGGCTTGGAGCAACCTGCTCTAGGGGAAGGTGTCCCTGCCCATGGCAGGGGCTTGGAATTGGGTGAGCTTTAAGGTCCCTTCAACCCAACCAGTCTGGTTCTATTCCATAACTCGGTGGCATCCCCTGTGGGGACACCTCCGTGTCTCCGCCGTGCCGGGGACTGGCAGCAGTGGGATTCAGCCACGCAAACCCCTGCAGCTCTCTCCGTGCCCGGCAAAGTCCTGGCCATTGGAAGCTTTTAAGTCAGAGCAAATCTCTCTTAATGCAGAGAGGGGGGTTTCCTTAATCAGGCGGGGGACAGCTGAGGCCCCCGGACAGGCACGCTGGGGGCCACGTGCCGGGATCACGCCGGCTTTGCTCCTCGCTGTCGCTTCTCATTTCCTCGCAGCCCGCCTGACGTGCCAGGTTGTGATAAGGGACTTGGATGAGAACAGAGCCACCCGGGCATGGGGATGCTCCAGAGCCGGTTAAAGCCACACAGCAGTGTCTCTCCTTTCTTTCCTTGGCTGAATGTCATGGGGAGGGCTGATATTTCCCTAATTCCTGGGGTTGTCATTCCTCAGAGTGCTTAAAATCAGGCATTGCGCAGGATGCTGGGGAGGTGGTGAAGTGCAAAGGCAGCTGCCGGTGCTGTGTTTTCATCCTCATTCTTATCCTTATCCTTATCCAGACTTCCCGAAAGCCTGGGGTGGTTGAGTCCCCCTCCTCTAAGGGAAGTCAACCACATCCTGGTTGAGCATCATTTCCTCTCACATGTTCTGCATTTCCTGCTGCTCTCTCACCCTCTTCGGGCTAGAAATCTGTTCCCATATGAGCTGGGATCATGGGAGCGGGAACATCGCCTGGAAGAGGGGGACCTGCGGGTCCTGCCATGGGGGGTACACCCAATAGAATGGGGGGCCTGGGGTGGCAGGGAGATGGGTAGGTGATGAGTGGAGTTTCTTTGCCATGTGAAGTTCTCACCCTGGTTTTCTTTGAAAACCTTCTGCTGTGAAGGAATTGGTTTTAAATCTGGTTTCTATGGGAAAAGAGTGGTGTTCCTGTGGGTGCAACCCGGTGACAAAGAGGTTTCACACCTCTTTGCAGCTTCTGCTTTTCCCCTGGGAAAGGGAATGAGGAGGAATGAGAAGGCAAGCTCTTTCCTAAAAGACCTTGCAGACATCCTGAAAATGGGAACGGTTGGGGTTGATTCTCGCTCCAGCAGGATGGTTTTCCTTTTACATCATCTTGTCAAAGAGCAGAAAATGTGGGACACACTTTATCCCAGGAAAATGAAAACCCCAGCAGCTCACATGGCTGGAAATGGCATTTTGTTGTCCCAAACCTCCTTTGGAGCAGCAGATTTTGCTTTGGCTCATGACCTGTTGTGGCTTGGGCCCCGGTGCTTCCTGTCCCACCACACTGCAGATCATCCCCATCCTCTGCGGTGCCAGCTCTGGAGCCCATCTCCCTTCCCTTCCTCCCCTCCATGCCTCCAAGCCTGTAGCATCCAGGAGGGATTTTTTCCCCTGTGTACAACTGGCTCAATGCTTCCTGGGGCTGCTGGTGGGTTTTCTATGGGATGGTGGCACCGCAGCCACTCGTCACAGCTCAGGATGCTCTGATCTGAACTTGGTGGTGGGTGTTGGAGCCAAAGACAATTAGGTTATAACTAATTTTATGAAGTTTGTGACCAGGGACAGGAACTAATTATTAGGTAGCAGGAATTATTAGTAACACCAAACAGGGCTTCAGATGCCACCATGGTCAAGAGTGAGACAGACCCTTCACTGGTGGAGCTGGATGTGGATGAGGACTTCTCCCCACTGCTCGTAATATCTAAGTAGTGAGTGTTCAAATGATGACTGTGAAGGAGTAGGTTTAACTGGAAATAGGGTGAAAAGCTTCAGCTGGAAAAGAAGCTGAAGGATGGCTTTGGTGCCTGTTGCTTGACCAGTGTCACGCGGCACAAGCGTCCACCAAGTAGGACCAGTGGGAAAAGGTAGAGACATCTGGTTCTGATGAGAGAACCATGGAATGCTTTGGATTGGAAGGGAGCTTAAAGCTCCTCCAGTTCCATTCCCCTGCCGCAGGCAGGGACACCTTCCACTAGAGCAGGTTGCTCCAAGCCCCATCCAACCTGGCCTTGATGTTTATTACTGTTTA